CCCCAAAACCCCAAAACCCCAAAACCCCGTGTCGAAGCTCATCATAAAAAAGTGAGAATTAGACAAATTAATAAATATAATCATCAATCATGCAAAGAATTTCAGTTTATAAAGGGCCAAACCCAACGAAAGAAGCTCCCGTTAAAAACAGAGGACAGTCTACAAATAACATTACAATGAGACCATCTTCAAAGTAAATTTGACAGTAAAATAATTATTAGACAAAACCAAGACATTACAAAGAAGAATACAGATTGGATGGCCTACTAAAACTAATAAAATCTGCCTTAAATTGGAAGCAATTCTATCATTGCTTAGAATTCTCCAGCTGTTTATTCTAATAAAGCAAATGATTTCGTTAGCTAAATACTAGGAAAGCAAAGTACAAATCAAATGTTGAGTTATGAGACTAATAAATATTCCTCTTCTTCTAATGATGATGTAATCAGGATGAAATCAGAACTTTAAGCTTGTCAAAAGTAGCTATAATTATTCAAGTAAGCAGATGAAGAGAAAAATAGAAAAATAGAACAGCAAAGAGCTGAAATAACAAAGTTAAGGAAGGATACATTTGACTATAAATCTTAGATAAACATATTATCTTTGAAACTGGATGAAGAGAGAAAAAAGAACTAAGAACTAAGAGGTGCAGCTAGACCGAGAGGTGCAGTGGGAGGCGAAAATGGTCAATCAGATAAAGATCTAGAGGAGATAAGAGCCCTATAATTAGCAATCTAATTTGAGGAACAAGAGAGAAGGCAAAGTAAGTCAAAATAACCTACTATCTTTCAGGCAAATTTTTAACTGTGATTTTAGGAGATAGAACAATGATGATGGAAATGATGATGGGGCATCCAGCTATGCTTTTAGGAAGTTCTTAATAACTTATGGAGCAGTAACAGCTTGAAAGAGTAATTGAAGAGAGTAAAAGAGATAATCCTGACAATATGACATATGAACAGATGCTGGAACTAGGTGAAAGAATCGGAAAAGTTTCAAAAGGCTTTACAAAGGAGTAGATATCTAAGATCCCATGGAAATTCTGGAGGACTAACTCAACTAAGCAGAATAGCTGTTCGGTTTGCTTTGAGGAATTTGCGAACAATCAAAAATTCAAAATTTTACCAAATTGTCAACATGAATATCATAGTGAATGTATAAATAAGTGGCTTGAAGATGAAAAAAGATGCCCAGTCTGCAACAAAAATGTTGAAGTTGTCTGATATATTCTAAATTAAACTTATATCTTAGATATTAATAATTAATTGGTTGATATAATAGCTTAGACAAACTAAACCTGGGTCATTTCTCAATTTCAAAACCATTTTGGTATGAAAGAGCTACCCTCATCAAGTCTAGCATCATCCAATATATTCTAGCATATTTCCTTTACATCTTTTTCCGTTCTATTGTGGGAAATAGTTGCCATTACACAGTAATCACCCTATGATAATATTGCATAGGTATCAATGGCATAAACCTTTTTAGCAAAGAAATCTTTCTTTGGGTTGAAAGCCTGGTATCTTTCGTAAAGTTGCTCGTATTCCTAGATGCTTCTAAGTTAATTATAATTTATTTGCTGCAGATCTGAGATCGGATAGTTATAGACAGTGAATTATTCCAGATTTTAGTTGCTAATAATAGTATTCTAAACTTCCTTCAGATCTATTAATCATAAAAATACTATGTTTGACTTACTTATTCTTTCAGCCATTTTGCTCTCGCATACAAGTAGAATGTCAATAATTTCTAAATCACCAAACTCTTTGATGATCATATTTGAAGCTCTTTCGAATTCTTGCATAAGATCTTCTCCATTTTCGTCAGAAGCAAATATGACCTTGAAGGGTGAATCTTTCTCCAGATGCACAAATAAGTTTAGTTTGTATTCTTCTGTCAAACCAGGTAAGCAGATGGTTTCAAATGATGGAGTCTTCGTTCTCAAATTATGCAAATTTGTATTGATGTAATTCATAATCATGTTGATATCTCTTGAAAGAATAAATGATTATTCAATAGAAAAGTAATCTTACCTGTTGGTACAACAGTAATTTTCATTTCATTCTTGATTACTCCGACTACTGTGCCCTCCATCAATACTAAGCCAAAGTAGTATTTATCTGTTTAAGGCTTGTTGTTTCTTAAAGTTTCATCCACCAGTTCTCTAGTCTTTGGATGTAGTCTCAGAGGTAGAAATTGGTTTAGAAATGTATAAGGATCCTTATACATCTTATCGCAGAGATGCTTAATTTGAAATTAATGTTAGTAAAGCTCATTAGCCACATCATAACTCTGATTTATGTTAAGAGTCTTAATCAGATTTGAAGTTTATAGTGAAATGAATTACGTGTGCAGAACTTCAAGCTGTTTTTTCATAAATGATACTGACTCGAATTGATCCCTGCTTAAAGCAATGTAAATGAGAGATTAACCTTTATGTAGGAAGGCAACTTTAAAATTTCTAGATAGTGTAGCAATCTAAACTATTTTAGTGACAAACACTTTGTCTTATTCATTTTCAAAGCCGGTTCGCTCCTTCTTCACCTCTTCTTGGACTATTGTATTTCTATTTATGTCTTTCTTCTCAATCATCGATTTAAAAGCCATTGATAGTCTATTTGATATTTTTGAATGTGATTGATTTAATGCATCACTATCATTGTTGTTTGAACCTACTACCAAAGTTTTCAAAGGATTTTCGTATTCTGGGAACTCAAATGTGTGAACTTTTGATAGAATTGCATATAGCGTAGCTATAATTGGAGATAGCTAATAGATATCGCCATAACTATATAATTATAAACTAATCAATCATTATTACCTTGAATAAACTGGTTTTCCTGCATTAGTAAATACCATATATAATCTTTAATTTGAGAAGAATGCGTGTAGCTCTTTCTCGTCTTCTTCAGTTCTAGTCATTTTCTCAAAACTTGTACCTTTAAATGATGATCCCCTTCTTTTTTCTTGGCCTCTATCTTTCTGGGCTTCATTGAAAAGATTATCAAAACTATGTTCTGCTTCAAATTCAAAGTTTTAATGCTCAAGAGTTGATTGGGTTGTGCCCTCAGCAGTTCCAAATTTTTCCTCTTCTTCAATAATAATGTTATTGTCCTCTTTTTAATCCATATTTTATAATATATCTTTTTAGTTATATTTCTAGCAATCAAATTTTCTGAAAAAGATTAGTCTTATGGGGTTTTGGGGTTTTGGGGTTTTGGGG